TTTTGACTACAGCAAAGGGACCCAAAAATACTTGGCGTATTATATTCAGGACCCAATAATACTAGGAGTTATCCCTGTCCTCAGTTAGCAGCTCCTCCGTCAACATGGTTCTGCAACGGAACCCACACATTCTTTTCCCCTACCGGCTGTCTCTGCTACTGGCATCCTGCGGTTTTACACACTTGGAGAGGTTTGTCTAATGCCCACTGCACAAGTCATCTTCGCCTCATGCTGCCCCACGCAAAGCTCTGCCAATCATCGCAAGGCGTTCCTTCGCCTCTGGTGTGTTTTTGCGCAGCCACCATGCGTAGAGGTACTGGAACAAATGCGGGTTGTAGCTCGGCTCATCACTATTCTTGGTGCCTGCGGTGAGGCACTTCGGTACGAAGCCCTTCACGTCCGTCCACGTTTGGTCGATGAGACCAGTGTTCACTCTCACACGGCCGTGTCTGCCAGCACTCCTTACATGACAGAGAGGACCAATGTGGAGCGCTACTGCGCTACTAGTACTTTCTCCGGGGGAAAAAACCTAAAAGATAACGTTCCTACTGTTTCCTTCGGGGTTACTACTCTTACCTCATACCTGCTACAAGATACAACCTAATAAGGTAATAGGACCCAGACGCTGCATCTCCGAGAACTGCCCTTTGCTGTGCACCACAAACCGATGAGACAGGCCGTATTCCTTGGCCAGTCTTCCGTAGACCTGCGCCCCGTCCGTGAGAAGGAGGCTCTTGGTATCGCGGCCACTGCGAAGGCACCGTTCGATCTGCTCTAGGCCCCCTGTGGACAGGATATCTGCACGAGATTCAACAGGACAAACGCTGTTTGCTGCAGTTTTCTTCACTGGCAGCAAGTAGATGAGGCACTTCGGATTTTGGGCACTTCCAGGCCTTTCCACCAAACCCCACAGAGCCACGTGGAAGTTTGCCTGGGCCCGCCTGAACAACTTCAAGCAGGTGCCGTCGCCTTCAAGAGCGCCTCGAAGCTTGCACCTTTGCATGCGCGCATACCCCAGCGCAGCTTCCTGCCCCAGAAGCCACTTGAAGAGCGTCTTGCTTGTGGTGCACCTGCTGACTCCCACTTGTCGGCACAAAGCCTGCAGTGAGGGAACTGGCATTTCGGCATACTCCTGCACGAATGCTGCCACTTGCGGCAGCGGCCAGGTAGTTTTCCGAATCGGCAAAACAGTAAAGCGAACAGCTGAGTACAGTCGGCAGCAGCGTGAGCCGCGGAACCAGATGGAGTGCTCAGGTAGCTGGGCTCGCGCAAGTTCCTGCGCAAACTTCTCCTTCTGCTTTGCTGACGATCTCTGCGTGATGGCTGGCTCGCACATACAGGCATCACACTGCGGACAAGGGAATTTTCTGCTTGCTCCCCGTGCGCCCTTCTTCAGCAAGCCCATGTTTTTCAAGGCGTTCCACGCTAGAAAAACTTGCCTTCTTTCTGCAGCACGCTCAACTTTCACACTGTCTTTGGTTTGCCGTTTCACAGTTCGCCGAATCTCTGCCCACTTTTTTTTTTGGTGATGAGCTCTTATCATGCGGCTGCAGCTCACCTGTCTGGTTCCACGGTGAACCTGCCGCACACGCCTGTGCTCTGCCCTTTTCGCTGCTTTTCGTGATCCATGACGTCTCTGTACGCCCTGGATGCTGAGCCTCTGCAAGTCGTCTTGAACGGCTTCAGTCACAGACTCCACGCTGTGCTTCACCTGAAC